CCTATGGATTATAAATATTCATCAGATCTTTCAAATTTCAAGCCGAACAGTAAAATGGTTTTCCACTTATCGTGTTATCGGTGAAAGTGACGACGACAGACGCAGGTGACGGCAATATTTACAGACACATCTGTGTCTGTACATAAAAAAAGCAATCGACATCAAGGTTACGTTACGTCAAAATTAAGACCTCAAGTTAATGATAAAGGTATTTGAGATATCATGCTTTGAAAAAAAATAAACACTGACCACATTTCTTTAACTTGTGGAGGTAACTAGGGACAGTGATTTATTTTAATGTTGTAATATCTAAAATCGCTATGCATCACACGTTTGGGGGACATATTCCTCTTTATCAAATTTCCCGTTTTTCAACATAGCTTACAAACATTTTTACGGGTACGTTTATAATAAAATAAACAAACCTACAAAAACTGAATTAAAGAAATGAAATGAAACTTCAAAGAGACAAAAGTAACCATAAGATAATTTAAATCAAAGGGGTATTTTATTTCTTTTTAAACTATCCTGATTGTCGTAAAAGGAGACGTTTAATTTTTGATAAACTTTGACCATTAAGTTTGTGTACACGTTGATGGGTCAAAAATTCAGAACTGTGACAAGAATGGTATTACTATTATCACCTAAAATAGTCCGTGATCTTTAAAGTAATATATATATGCCCATCTACATGTACTCATTTGCTAGCTAATATAGGCATATACATACTGAGTAACAGAAACGGCAGGCAAAGTATAACAAAGAGTTGTAACATAAATACTTGTCGTAAATTTTTATTGCATTCTTCTACGCTTTTTCCATCTAATGTCATAGATCACTGAAGAAAAAGTAATACTTACGAAGCATGCACTTGCTTCTCCACCTCATAAAAGCTCGCCCTTGCGTCTGCACCACACATGCTGAACATTGCGTCTTCACCCTGCTGTGTCCTACTACCTAGTGAGCATTCGGAAGACAGCTCGCACTACGGTGAGCAACTTATTGTTATGCAAATTAGAGACAGGTATGGCTCATTTTAGGTGAGGGATTGTGGTTGAATCTGTTCACGAATATTCACGGTCAAATGCATGTACAGTGGCACGGTCTAGGGCCCCGATAAACG